AAACTCCAAAATTGACAGAGATATCTCACTGCCTCAACAGTCACCCAAAGTTCTTCTGTACCATCGCAGGAACACATCATCAGTCTACTGGCCCATAGTATATGGTTGACTTTCCCATAACGCAAAAAAAAAATTTGAAGACAATTCCGCCTATATTGGCAATTTGTCAGACATTTTCTTCTGTGTCCTGCAGAATGTCTAGCAGATTCTTTCATGAAGCAGGAACCCTAAAGGCAATATTAGCAGTCATTTTTCTGTGGGTCCTGCAAATCCAATCAAGCAGTCCAAGTAAGAGAAGTGTTTTTCTTTCTTTCTTTTTTTTGCCTAAATGGCTAACAAACTCCATAAGGTGCCTCTTCAATGCCCATCATCCTCTTGAAGTAGATTGGTGCTGCCAGGAGTAGATGTGTCTTATGTCATGAAAAGTTCTAAGTTCTTAAAACATTTTAAAAACCATATTCTGTTGTCTTTGAAAGATCTGAATAATATATATCCATCTGAAATATAACTCTGTACATCTACAAAACCTAACTAACATGACTACAAGTTTGACTATTATAGATGAAACTCCACTAACCTATATTTCTTAAATTTACATTATATTTTAAATGGGTTACATAAACACAGTACCTCAATCAAGAGTAGAAATATATATATATACATATATATGTATATATATATATATCTTAAATTTGTATTAAATTAATAAGAATCATACCAAAGTAAAGCCTTGTACTCTATATCATATCCCCCTTTAAATGTAGACAAACATTTATAAACAATATTTGGGAATTTGGGCATAATTCTCTAAAACTGTTTCCTGCTTTTTGTTCGGTGAAGTAATTTTGGGAGGTGTTCATGGTGGCCTTTCAGGGAGTCATGGTACATCAAACTACATTAGTCTTGAAGGATTCTTCAGGTTCTCATCCTCTGTGGAAACAAAAGATAAACATCTTTTCGAAAGCAACCAATCCTTAAACCCAAATTCTGAAGTCATGATACCTTTAAAAGTGGTACGTTGGTTTAGCTTAGCAGCCCATACAATGAAATGTCTCTCTGTAGCTAGCTCCTTCACAGTCAAAAAATTAAAAGAAAACACAATAATATATAATCCAGACTCTCTATGTGTATATTCCATCTTTACATAGCTTATTTTTCTTACTCTACTACTTTTCTACATATTTATTTATTGGTTTAATATTTATTTTAGTATCGTTACCCCTTTAACCTTTGACTGTCTGTACTCTTTTATATTATAACTGTTGATACTCTTTTTCCTCTCTGTCAAGCCTACGTACATTTATCCAATACTGTGACCCATTTAGAGGTCTTTCCGATCTGAATTTGTCTTTATTTTGTATCTGTAATTATTTTCTGACCAGAAGCACCCCTTTTTTAAAAAAAATGCTGAGCAGGCTTGGCTAGGACCAGTAATGCCCTGCTTCCTTGCTCTGCCCAGTACAGCATGGCGGAGACACTTTCACTGCCATGTACATTGAGCCAATTTTGGGCACTCGGTGGGTCTATGTTGGCATTAGGCAAGTTGTAGCACTCTGCTCACAGACCCCATTTAATTGCTTCATAGCTGGACCTCCGAAAAAGTCAGAGTTTGTGCTGGCAGCATGGCCCCAGAAGCTGCCATTTCAAAGCCACAATTTTTGTTTGTTTATTTTCTCCAGCTTCTGCTGAATCAGCAAAATATCTCTTAAAAGAGCAGACTATGGGGCTATTGGCGGTGACACCAGAATATATCCCTACTGCTTTTTTTGGCTTTTTGAAACCCATTTTCTCTGGAGGGATACCTTGCTCAGCCTAGAAGTAGTGGGGAGGGCCTTGATTCTGCTTTAAAGCAATGTGCTAAACTGTTTTTGACTCCCCAGGGGAAGCCTTACCCTTTCTTAGGAGTGGATGAGAGATGAAATGTGGGATAGGAGGCAGGAAGGTGGAGGGAGTAGGAAGATGGGAGGGAGGAGGGGAAATATATTTGACATGCAAAATGAGAAAAGAAAAGATAGTTCTTATTAAAAATAAATTAAAATAAAAAATAAAATATATGGAAGATTAAAAAAGAAGACACAAATAGAAAAGGAAGAAGTCAAAGACTTGTTTTTTTTCTTTTATATTTATTTATTTATTTTAAGATACTATCTTTTCTCATTTTGCATTTAAAATGAGATAAAATTTTCTCATTTGATCTCAGTTTTGGATCACTGAGTTCTTCTCTACTCAAGGCTGAACCAAGAAGTATCTTCTACCATTTTCTCCTATCAGTAGTGGCATTTGTGTTGGGTGCAAAACAACACTTTCTTTATCCTATAAAATACAACCATTTCCCTTCTTTTGATTTTTTAATTAATTTTATTGAGATATACATTTTTCTCTGTTCCACTCCTTTCCTCTCTCCTTTCCTTTAACCCTCTCCTATCGTCCGCATGCTCCCAATTTACTTAGGATATCTTGTATTTTTCTACTTCCCATGTACATTGAACACATATAAGTTTCTCCTAGGGTATTCATTGTTGTCTAGGGCCTCTGGGATTATGAATTGTAGGCTGAATTTCTTTGCTTTATGTTTAAAAGCCACTTATGAGTGAGTACTTATGATATTTGTCTTTCTGGGTTTGGGTTACCTCACACAATATAATGTTTTCTAGCCCCATCCATTTTCCTGCAAATTTCAAGATGCCATTATTTTATTCTACTGTATAGTACTCCATTGTGTAAATGTACCACATTTTTCTTATCCATTCTTCTGTCAAGGGGCGTTTAGGTTGTTTCCAGGTTCTGGCTATGGCAAATAATGCAGTTATGAACATAGTTGAGCACATGTCCTTGTGGTAGGATTGAATATCCTTTGGGTATATACACAAAAGTGGTATTGCTGGGTTTTGAGGAAGGTTGTTTCCTGATTTTCTGAGAAATTGCCATACTGATATCCAAAGTGGCTATACCAACTTGCATTCCCACCAGCAATGTAGGAGTCTACCCTTCACTACACAACCTCTTCAGCACAAGTTGCCATCAGTGTTTTTGATCTTGGCTATTGTTACAGGTGTAAGATGGAATCTCAGAGTTATTTTGATTTGCATTTCTCTGATGGATAAGGATGTTGAGCTTTCCTTTTGTTTCATTACATTGAACCATTCTTCCAGGACAATGTTGAAAAGAAATGGTGAGGATGGACATTTTCATCATCTTCCTGATATTGAATGGGATGACTTTAGACTCACTCCAAAAAGTTTGAACTGAATTGTAGATTTTATGAAGTTGTCTTAATAAGTTAAGAAAGTTTACTTTTATTCCTTATTTATGAAAAAATTAATCAGTGTTTAGCTCTGCCAAAGAATTTCCAATGTATATTAAGATTATCTACATTTTCTTTGTTAAAATGCTATATATTATTTTTTATAATAAAAGAATACTTCATCCAGGTATGGTGGTGCACTCCTATATTGCTGTACATGAGATGCTAGACAACATTGTTAGTTTGAGGGTGCTTTGAGCTACAGTCAAGTATCTCCCTCCCTCCCCCATCTCTCTCTTTCTCTCTCTCTCTCTTTCTCCCCCTTTCTCTTTCTATATGTATGTATACATACATATAGACATATATATGTTTATATACATATATGTTTGTATAAAATTACAATTTTGTTTACAATATCTCAGAGAAAATATAAATATTGAAATTAAGTAAGCAAAACCATTATTCATGCACACTATGAAGTCATTTTGGGAGTATTGAAAAGAAATATATACATGAGTGCACCTCAAAAATTATAAATTAAAACATAAAAATAAGCAACAGAAAATGTTACCCTTCAATTTCTGTAATAAAATTGGGTAACTGTGAGTATGTAAATATGGAAAGGAATGATGTGGGATTCCCCTCTATATGTTGTAAATACCATTGGTTAATAAAGAAACTGTCTTGGGCCTGTGCAGGGAATAGAGGTAGGCAGGGAAAACTAAACTGAATTCTGGGAGAAAGGAGGTACAGTCAGAGAGAAACCATGTAACCCCGCCAGAGACATACGTTGAAAACTTTACCTGGTAAGTCATAGACATATGACAATACAGATTACTAGAAATGGGTTAAATTAAGATGTAAAAGCTAGCCAATAAGACGCTGTAGCTAATGGGCCAAGCAGTGTTTTAAATAATATAGTTTCTGTGTGATTATTTCAGGGCTAAGCAGCCAGGAACAAAAAAATGCCCTCCAACAGCAAAGGAATGTGATTGTCAGGATATTATTCAAATGATAGGAGTTAAAGAGGAGGATGGATAGAGATGGGAATGTCAAGTTAAGAATTAATGAAAATTATTTTTATCTTTTATTTAAAAAATTATTTCAATACAGATTAAAAGTGAACTATCTGTTTATTCAAAAACTGATTATTTGGACTATATGTCACAGGGAGCAATAGAAAAAAAACTAATTTTTCTTTAGAAGAAAGGAGAAAGCTGAGGCTTCTTTGCATTTTAGGGATGTTAGAAGGACATAACGATTATGGTGTATCCCATAGCTTGAAGTCTTTGCTGGCTCCAAAATGATTTTTGTTGATCAAGGTTTCTTTCCCACCAGGTCCCACATGTGTTTAGTACCAAATAAACACACAGTGGCCTACATTAATTATAAACTGATTGGCCTATTAGCTCAGGATTCTTATTAATTCTCAAACATTATATTATCCCATAATTCTAGTCTGTGTTAGCCCTGTGGCTTGTTACTTTTTTCAGTGAGGCAGGCACATATTGCTTCTTCTATGTCTGAATGATGACTACAGACTAAGGCTTCCCCCTTCCCAGAATTCTCATTGCCCTGCCTCTACTTCTTGCCTGACTACAGGCCAATCAGCATTTATTTAAAATACAAGGGAAAGGGTACAGACTGTTGTCCCACAGAAGATTTTTCTCATCAGTTTTTACTTCAGTTTACACAGAAATAAACTTTTTTTTCTTTCAATTGAAGAGGAGTCAGAAGTTCTCATTCCCTTCTCTCTGTGGAACTGGAAGTTGTGCTATCAGCTGCCCTGCAGGCATGTCTGTCTATCTGCTGTCAGCTGTTCTTGCCCAGGCTCAGCATTCCTTTCCCATCCCTGCTGGGTTCCTCAGTCTTCCCTTTCACCTGTAGGGCTTCTTCTCATTCCATCACAGAGACCTCTTTAGAAGGCGCCACTGCTCCCCTCCCTCACCAGGCAGATATTGCACAGGTGCAGCCCTGTCTGTCACAGTGTGCTTCTCTCAGGATACAGTGATACACAGCAGCATCGCTCAGGCTGACCCGAGGCAGGATCAAGGTACTTGACTTTCTGTCAGAGGGAATAGCCAGAAAGGCCATTCCATTGCTTGTGTTTTGTTGTAAACCATGAATCACATATTCTGGACCGCGAAGAGGAACCTGTCGGTACCAGTAAATGTACTCGTTCCCACTGATGGTGGAGTGGCTACAAGGCAAGTGTACAGTTTCTTCTTCAATCGTTTCCATTGAATCTGGCTGTGTGGTCTTAGCATCACCCACAATACCTAAGGAGTTAAGAAGCAACAGATCAACTTTGGACCATTCAATATCTAAGTGGCTAAATGCCAGGCTCTTGGATGCCTCAGAACTCTTCTCCCGAGTTCTGCTGCTGAGTGTTGTATGTTGCTCAGCACCAGAGGAAATTGCTAAAATTTACTCTTTGGCTGTGCAGAATCACACAGCCAAAGAAAAGATGCCCATGTCCCACTTTCCTCAAGCTTAATGAACATGGAGCTTCTTGTATATAAGTCTGTGAGTGAGATACACAGCTGCTCATGCTGACAATGCTCACAGACACCAATTCTCTCCAACACCTGGGAAAATCACAGAGGGAGAAGTAGTGGCAGCAGACCCATTTTCTTTTTCTTTAGGCACAAAAATCATCCTTTCCTAGGTACAGAATACTTACCCAAAGTTAGGAGAATGGGAATTCCACTCATGCACCTCATAATTAAGAACAAGTAGATGTTCTATGCTTCTGAGCTCAGAATCTGTGTCTGATGGGAGGATGTGAGGCCTCAAACCACAAAGCAGCACTTTCCAGCATTGCCCCTCCTCAAGAAGCCATCTTTATAGGTGGCTCTAGTCATGTGTCTTTTGTATAGGTCTAGCTCTACCTCCAAAGTTTAAATATAACATTTAAAAGGTGAAAATAATTTTCTTGCAAAATCCCCACTTGGAGTTTTTGTTGAGATCATTTCAAGGCTTAAACTCAACAATGCTTTGTCTAAATGTACAAAACCATTCAATGGAACCCATACACCCCTTGATTATAGGACAGGCAAAACTCAAAAATTTAGTGTGCTATTGCACTGATGGGAATTGCTCTTTATTTCAGGAAATCTTATTGAGCTTTGTGCTATAAGAATAAGAAAGACTTCCTATTTATATTGATAATATACAAGTCTTAGGAGCAGAAATAAATTAGCTTTTAGATATATCAACTTCTTTTTCCCATCAAAATTATGATAAACCAAGTAAAAAATGAATCAACACTGTAGAAGAAACTATTTGTAACATACTTAATGAAAATAGTTTCTTAAGTGCCTAACAGTGCATGATCAGTATGGCAGAAAAAAACATGATAAAAGTAAAGTTCTCTGGTGTTCCAGCCTCCTAGGTGGACTCCTGCAAAAGAGTCTGTCTCCTACTTCTTCAAACTGGGATTACTGTCAAGACACCAATGATTGCTTGTCCATGACAATCTTCTGTGAACCCCACTCTAACACAAATCTCGCCTCTAACCTCATCTGGCAGTGTCAGGCCTTGAAGATAGTAAATAGGAAAGAAAATAAATAAGGGGCAGGAAAACAAGATTTGGAGAAGAAAATGAAACAATGCCATTTGACAAGGGAGGTAGAAATACTTCCTCTAGTTTATCAAAAGTGATTGCTAGAAATATAGGCAGGAATAAAACTTAAATCATTCCTTCCTCTCTGCTATAAAACTGAACTTGTCGATATTCTGTAACAATGAATATATTTGGTTATTTAAAATTGACCTCTATGTTAATTACCTGTCTTATTGATTACTTGTCAAACTGGAGATTGACACCCTAACTTTACTGAATGTTCAGCAAATGCTCTAACCCTGAATTACATGTTCAATTCACGTAGATTTCTTTCCTTTCTGTCATTTTGTCTTCCTTCCTTCCTTCCTTCCTTCCTTCCTTCCTTCCTTCCTTCCTTCCTTCCTTCCTTTTTCCTTTCTTTCTTTTGAGACTATGTCTCGCTCTCTTGCTCAGGCTTTCTCTAAACATGCTTCCTACTCCCACACCCACTTTTCTAGGAGTTATTACTGTCAGTGGTTGCTTGGGGTGTCATTTTCTTCAGTAGTGCAGCCAGTGAGGGACTAATTGGGAAGAAAAATTCAGAGGGAAAGGAAAGGGTCTAACAGAGAGTAATGGGGGAGGTGGTGAATATAATCACAACATATTGTATATATGTATGAAACTGCCAAAAATCAAACAGAAAGAATGATGATCTAATAAAAATTCATGACCTCAAGGGACCAAAACCTTGGTTTCCAAGTTACTGAGGCTGCACGGCCATGCCTAGCTCCTCCCTCAATTTCCCTGGGTAAGGGCTGTGCTCACCCATCTGTTTTGCTATTTACAATGAGCTTCCTCATGTGTGTGAATCTATCAATGCATTCAAAGAGTGTTTTTAAAATGATAAGGTGACAGAAAGGATGAAATCCTCTATACATCCACTGACAGCCTTAGCTTAGCCTGGAAGGAGCTTAGGTTCATAGCCCCCTCTGGTGACTGTTCATGGGAACTTTTTTCCTGAGAACTAGAAAACCAGGATGGAGTTTTTGATATGGTCCCTCCTTCTACTGAAGAGGTTCAGGGGAGAGTTTTCTGTCACTTTCATCAAAGAAAGACTAAATTACTTGCAGGTATTTGGAAACTGGAATTGCTTCTCTAATGTTTTCTCAAGGACCAAATTAATTTTGTCCTCCTTGGTTTCTTGTTTTTTTGGTTTTAAGGCAGCTTAAAATCCATGCCCTTTGTCACAAGGCATAGGATTTGACAGTCTAAGCACTGAGCAATAATCTAACAGGTGGATGCGGTAGTTAATGCTTATTCATCACAGGACCAAGAGAAGTCATGCGTGGTGATTTTAAATGACTCCAATTCAATGTTTCTACTACCCTAGGGGGTATTTTGAATAAATCACTCCAACATTAAAGGTATATGTAAAATTCAAGTAAATGTCACAGTGATTCTCATCCTTCATCATCCAAAATCACAAATTTAGAACAGGGAAAGCCTGGTTGTGACAATGTAACAATGTTTGACATGGCAACTATGTATTCATACTTGATACATTTTCACTGTGCTCCCACTGTGTGCCAGCTAGTCAGGTGATGACAGTCTTTAAGTGCTGGTCCATATGAAAAGAAAAGGCTGTGATTGAGAACAGAGATCAGACCACGTTAGACCCTTTCATCTGGTGCCCATTACTGTTGTGCTCAAATGGTATAGAGAATCAAGACTGATTTAAAAGGACAATAAATATTCCAGTATCATTTGTTATTGTCTGTTTTATGTGATAGCTCTGTTGAGAATCATGTACTATATAATTTATCCAGATAAGATATAATTCCAGAGCTTCAGTGTATTTACAGAAATATCCAACCGTCTTCACAATTAATCATAGAATATTCTCACCATCCCTCTAGAGAAGTGATTCTCAACCTTCCTAGTGCTGTGACAGTTTAATATGGTTCCTCATGTTGTAGTGACCCCCAAGCATAAAATTTTCCTTGATACTTTATAACTGTAATGTTGCTAATGTTATAAATTGTAGTGTAAAGATATGTATTCTCTGGTGGTCTTAGGTGACCTCTGTGAAAGGGTCATTCGACCTTTCCCCCACAAAGGAGTCACGCCCCACAGGTTGAGAACCACTATTCTAAAGGAGGCTTTGCTCGTGAGCAGTCACAGATGATTTATGCCCATGAAATGCCCTCCAGGCAACCCCTCATCTACTTTTCATCTCTGCAGAATTTCTGAGCAGTTCATAAAAAAGAAGTTGTGTAATAGATGCCCTGAGACATTATATAATGTCTGCTGATAATAAAAGATGTGACACATGAGGAAACAAGCAAAGGCAGACTTTATTAAGGAAATTTAAAAACAGGAAAGAAGTTAAGGAAAAGTAAGAGAAACTCCCATAAGTGGGAGGGGTGTTGAGAAGAAAATCCATGGAACAACCCATCTGGGCATGTTTATGACACACTTCAGGGACCGGAAAAAGACCGAGGTCATTTCTACTGAGACTGTTTTTTCCTCTGTGTTTACTGTGGGCTAAGACAGTTAGGGACTTCCACACTGGGTTCTGCCTCTTCTGACCCAACAGGGGAGATGATGACAATTCTCTGTTCATATGCTGTTCACCTAATTAGGGAACAGTCACATTTTGAAGCTCTATTTCTCTCTGTCTATTTACTTTGCCAGGTGTTCCCCTTGGCTGTTTATTGACTACTAGCCTTGGCCACTATTGCAGGTTGTCAATCTTACAAGTGAGGATAGTCTCTATTCTTGAGAAGGAGGTATCCAGTAGCCACAAAATAATAATATATGATTTGTCTTTGTTCATGTGACTTGGATGTAGGGTTTTTTTATATAAATATATCTAATAATATGTGGCTGGATTTCTCTTGGTCTCCCTTGTAAGACCCTTGACTCTTCCATGGTCTGCAGTAGTCCACTTTCTGGATAGGTGAATGCTATATAGAAGTTTTTAGTCTTTTAATTAGTCACATTAGAAGTCAGAAAAAGTGAAAAGCACTGTTCTTATTTGCCTATGTTTTGTGGAGTAGGATCCAAGTGGCTGCTCACCGTTTTCTTGGAGTCCTGTCTTTTCTCTCACCTGCTCATCTTGGCTGTCTTATATGCAGCTGTGTAGCAAGAAGGATCACTTGTTTGTTCCTGGCTGGCCGGATAGTTTAGCCCCTAAAAATAAAACATAAACTCTAGCAATTAAAACACTACTTGGCCCATTAGATGTAACTTTTTATTGGCTATTTTTTTGGAATTTTGAGAATTATTTTATTTGTTAATTAATAACTTATTTTTATTTTTATTTATTTATTTATTAAAAATTTCTACCTCCTCCCCACCTCCCTTTTCCCTCCCCTTCCCCACCTCTCCCTCCTGCTCTAGTCCTAAGAGTAGGCAGGGTTCCCTGCCCTGTGGGAAGTCCAAG